ATTTCAATCCAAAATTACAAATAGTTTATTATGCATTGTAGATGTTATTTTTCAATGTATCATAACAATAACATTAAATTCAATTAAATTTTAACAATAAAATCCTTAAAGGACAATTGTAATATTTTGAAAGTTTAGATATACATTATATATAATGAGTGGAAAAAATATTCCCACAGAGAAAATTTAAAAACAACTTTATTTTTAAAAAATAAACATCCAGCGAGAAATGACTCATCGAATTGATGTCGAAGTGATATCAGTACGATGATTTCGACACAAATTCAACGTCTAATTGACGGTCATTTCTTGCTGAATTAACAATTTATTTGTAAAGAATATAAAATAAAGTGTACATTTTTCAAAATTATTTATACCAAAAATATGTATAGTAGAAAATATATTATCTTAAAAATAAGCAAAAATTAAAAATTGTATTGTTTAGATGTTTAAAAAGTATTCACAGAAATTAAAGCTTTTAAAATCAGGAATACATACGAAGCTCGTTTGTTTATGTTAGAACAGAATGTATTCATTGTATAAAATTGTTAATTAATCTTTATTTTCTACAAATAAGGCTTTTTATGAAAAAATTTCCTTATACAAAAACTTTTTGTACTTATATTGTATCCAGGTCTCTGAAAAAATTGAAATTATTTATCAGATTGTGATTTTTATTTTTTAAAAGAATTTATGGCCCCAATTATTAATAAAATATTCAATTTTTTTAATTATAAAATGTGACCTATAATTATAAAATTCCATTATTAATTGTATGAGAGATGTTAACTTTTTCCTCTTTCAATTTAAATAGAATTATGCAGTTTCTACTTTCTTTGTTTAGAAGATCCTAAAATGTTAATATAAAAATATTTAAATATGCAGTTAATATTAAAATGTTATATGTATTTTTATAAATCTAAATTAAAAATTATTTCTTACATGTAATATTTTTTTTGCAGATTCTAAATATGGAGGATGATATGAATTGGTATAGAGCTGAATTGGATTCTAGAGAAGGACTTATACCGAGTAATTACATTGAGATGAAGAGCCATGAGTACGTTATTATTGTATGATATGTTTATGTATTAGAGACAGAAACTTGATATTTATTGTCTGCTAAAGCATATTCTTGTTTTCATAGAAATATTAGGTGTAATAAAAAGTTATCGCGTATTTTTAAAAGACATCTATATCAGTAAAAACCGCAATTACTTTCTTACCAACAATATAAATATATCTTGATAGAGTAAAGTTTCAGCTTTAAAAATCTCTTTTTTTAAATTATACGATACGACAATTTTTAATGGAGTTATGAGCAATTAAAGTCAAAATAATTCTTTTATTTAATCCGCGATAACTCAGTAATCAAAAGTCGTAGGAATATTTAAAAAAAACGATTTTGTAGGGAAAGTATCAAGCTTTCACGATAGGTAATCGAAAATTTTCTCAAATTCGTTTTGGACACGTTACAAATCCACAAAGTGAGAAGAAAATTTTTCGTCTTTTTCAGCTCGTAGTTTTTGGTATGTAAAAATGATCAAACTCATATAAACTTAAAAAATGTGATAAGCTTTTAAAAGTAGAGATTTCAAGCTTTAAAACCCTTTTTTTAAATTTGAATTTCATTCATTATTGACGAAGATATTGTATATACAACTTTGAGCTAAAAAATACGCGATGACTTTTTACTACACTTAATATATTCACGTATAATCTTGTACACAAATTATTTTCTGTACCTTATCTGCTACAGCTGGTATTATGGCAGGATAACCAGAGCAGACGCTGAAAGATTATTGATGAACAAACATGAAGGTGCCTTTTTGATCAGAATCAGTGAAAGCTCTCCTGGTGATTTTTCTTTATCCGTAAAGTGAGTATTATATTAGATAAATAATATGTATCTAATTATAGTTATTGACATTTTTGTGACGAATGAAAAATATTCATAGATTTCAATAGAAATTACAATTGTATAGGAAATCCATTCCTTATTAAGGGTCTTTATAAACTAAAAATAATCGGTTTTTAATACTGTTATTAATAATTAACGAGATGTAAAATGAAATAACTATAATTTATATATACAGATGCTCCGATGGTGTGCAGCATTTCAAAGTCTTAAGAGACGCACAAGGCAAGTTCTTTTTATGGGTTGTCAAATTTAACAGCCTCAATGAACTAGTGGAATATCATCGTACAGCGTCTGTTTCTCGCTCACAGGATGTTAAGCTGCGTGATATGGTCCCTGAGGAGGTAAAAATTGACATTATAATAATTGTCTCTATAATAACAGTATAATTTGTAGAAGATTTGAACGTTTTGTGATAAGTGTTCTTTTTTATTTATATCTATTTATATGTGTTTTTGATTACATAATGATAAATTAATTTATCATGGTTTTCAGTGTTTGGTACAAGCACTTTATGATTTTGCACCGCAAGAGCCTGGCGAATTGGAGTTCCGACGAGGAGATGTAATTACTGTCACAGATCGCACAGATCAGCATTGGTGGCATGGAGAAATCGGAAATAGACGGGGACTTTTTCCGTCCACCTATGTCACGCCATACCACTCCTAGGTAAGAAAGTTCTTGCAATTTATCTTTATTTAAATATATCTATTTTTTCTTATTTATAAATTTTAATATGAATTTCATCTTATTGGTTAATAAGTTTCTTACAATTATGTAAAAAATATGTGCGCCATCATAAATGAGATATGAAGAAAGATTGAGGATATTAAAAATATATATAACATCATTAATAAAAAATATATCTTTAATTTTTTGTGTTTCCTCTTTCTCCATTATTAATATTTTTTTGATCATATACTTTTTATTTAGAATGATTAATAACTTGTGTATAATTTTTCAGACCTCATATGGTCGAATGCACAGAGGCCGTTATTGGGAACAGTGGCCGCCTTATCCCACCTCTATCACTTACAGGATCCGAGTTGCCGCGGATTTGATAAACAATATTTTACAAACCTCACCTATCGAATGGGCCACTAAAGTATACTGGTGGTCACGCCGAAAAGTCTTCTAAGCAAACACGATTAAAAATGAATCGAATATATCCTAACACCAAAATTCTTGAATACCGAAGAATAAACGTTGCGTTTATTTAATCGATGAAAAAGAAAGAGAAAGAGAAAATCATCATTGATATCACATCGAAACATCTAAGCACGAGGATTTAACATCTAGAATTTAAGGACGATTTGAGTATTTAAAGATTTGACGATATCCAAGGATCCGAAGATCTCTGATGTTATCCGGGGATTGAAGAATTCATGCTTTTACGAACATTTAGGGATGAAAAAATGCCTAAAAGATGCCTAAGGATCTAAAGATTCAAGCATTTATAGAATTCTAACAGTTTACAATGATCCTTTGTCTAAGAGTTATCTAAATATCAATGGATATCCCCAAGGATCTAAGGGTCTCTCGCGCGATCTCCGCCTGCAATGGAAATCGTGTTCGAGGAATATGTATATTTTTGTTTTCCTTTTTTTGTAAACCTTTTTGAGGACTATACTTTTTCTTTACTTATTGCGTAAAGCACAAAACTTCGTAGCATTATTCTGTAATTATTATTATCTTTTATGGTTATTATTATTATTATGACTATTAATGTTATGTTACATTTTATTGATAACAATATATTATATTAATTATGGCCGCGTGTGCTTTGTTTACTTGTGCCCAACGATAACGATTATTCCTTTGGATCATGAAGTAACGTGCTATACCAGTAGCAAGCTGTCTTTATGCTAGCCGATTGCTGCCGCTTATATAGCATGTGATTTCATTTATTGTAACAAGTATAGAACGAATGATTGGTTGATCTGCCTGTTCATTATACGCTAGCGAATATGCCATCTGGGAAACTTCCTGCTCGTACGCTTTTAGCTTTATCAGTCGACCGCGATAAATTCTGAAAGCGGAAATTCGCATCTCACAATCGATGTCATTCCGCTGGCTTTAATAAACTCCCATCTATAAGTAGGATCAAAACGCTAAGATTAAATATTAGATTTGAATAAAATTTAATAGGAATTACATAGTAGAATTTGAATTCGGGGGCTTTTTCAAAAGTTATCCTTTAAGTTATCAGAGTTTAAGCATGTTTCAGATATCATATTTCTTCGATTAAGAAGTATACGATTATTTAATTGCGTTAATAGACTGCTAATTACGCTTCTGATTCAATTCACGCACAAATTGAATCTTATTAATAAGCAAGAAAACGGATAAGAGGAGAAAACAGTATATCATAATAAGAGAAGTCATTAAAAAAAGTATTCTACGAATAAATGCAATTAGACTTGAAAAAATGTGTATGTTATTAATGGATGAATCACTCGACTGTCACTTATTAATTGATGAAGTAATTAAATCACTATACACTGAACGAAAGGAAATTCTGCTACTGATATACTTTTATGTCAGAATGTACCGTATATAGAACGATACTTTTGGACCAAGCAATGTATAATAATAATAATAATAATAATAACTCGAAACAATATCTACCCAAGCCAGATAATCGCGAGCGACTGTTGCAAGTCGCAGTCTTTTTTGTACTGATCGTTGTTTCTGTAATAAAACTTAAACTATATCCTAATATTGATTATAAGTGTGAGCTAATGAACCATGCAAACAAAATACACATTTTACGCATGTAATTGCCAATAGTGCATTAAAATATTGGAAAGGTAAGAATGCATTATAGAGACGTGTATTCACGTGTGAGAACTGTAATTATTCATTGCTGCTAACTGTACAATGTTTAACACTCAATGCGACAGATTATTTCATACATAGTATAATAATGTATAATTGCAGATGTTATAATACTAGATGCAAAACGATGCACCATTATAAAATGCTGCTACAATAAATGTCAAATTTCGAGCTGCATTGTTTTTACCTTTTAATAAATATCTCTTTTTTTTAGTCCGAGATATTTTTGCGATTTAGTCTTTGTTCTTTTTTCCTTTCCCTCCTCAACAAACCAACCTATAGGATATGTATCTTCCTGCGGTTTCTGACGATCTGATTATTTTAACAACTTGTCCACGTTTCAAACCAAAATATCGTGCTACTGGATCGCCAGCTTGTATTCGCATCAGTTGATTTTCCTTTAGCTTATATCTTGTCAATAGTTCCTCTTTCTCATCTGGAGTTAAGACAATGTGCTCGGGTACCAATTCGTGTTCAGTAATGTTTATCAATAATTCAGATTCTAGAAACTGTTCCAGTATGTATTTTGGTGCCATATCTACCAGCGATTGTTTAGCAGATGGTGTCATGCCTTGCTGAACAACAATTATTGCTCTGTAATAATCAACAATGCCTTGTAATCTCTCAAAATATTAAGATAAAATGAATTAATATGAATAAATTATTTGGTATCTAAAATAATTGTTGAAATAAAATCTAAAATTTATATAATATTTATATAATATTAACAGCAATAATTATTTAGATTGAATCACAATATTCTTTTTGTAAAAATGTATTGTTAAATTATATAAAAATGAAATGTAACTAAATTGTTATGAATGATTCTTTATTTGAGAATAGCTGACTAGTAGTTGACGAATTCCAAATATGATATTAATTTCATGTATATCTCCGTTTTAAAGCCTTGTGTCCATAATACTAGAAATCAATCCGAGATCTTGGATAAATAAAGAATAGACCAATTGCATTGATTATGTGACTGAATTGTTCAAACATGATTTTTTTATCATTTCTTTTTTTAAAATCTTGGAGCAATTTCTAGCATTGACATAAGGCTTTAATCAATGTCGAATGTAAAGATAAAAATTATGTGTGAGTGAAATATAAGGTGAATCTTAATCAATTTTATATAAGAATCAACATTTCTCTATTATATAAAATATATTAATTATATAAGATATATTATATAAAATATTGAGTGCCAGCATGGCGTAGCAGGCAGCACATGAGACCGCTATGCCAGAGATCCCGGATTTGATCTCAGGCAGAACCAAAACAATTTTTTTAAACGCTTATAGCTCCTCTTGAAAGGCAATGGAAAACCACCGAGAGTATCTTTGCCAAGAGCACTTCTCTAATAAAATTTTATCGTTCGAAATCAACATTAAACTAAGTCCCATGGACTGTGTACAACCAGCGTGCGCATCACAGGCATATGAGAAAAGTCATCACGCTTAGCCACAAGCAATAAGACTGAGGAGGATATAAAATATCGTAATATGAAAAACAACCTGTGGATCTTCTCTTCTTGCATGCGCTGGCAATATGTCTTGATGGTTTTGATGCCGATTTTTGGTTCATCTGGAAAGAAGACGAACAACTGATCCGTAGGATCATCGTTATGCGCTACAAGAACAATAAGATCACTCCTAGCCGGCCTTTTCTCGCTAGGCTTATCTCCAAACTGTTCCTTGAATAGTTCTAATGTCTGATCCAACTCGTCCTGCGTGACAAGGTAACCTCTGTCGTGGCACAGCTGCATCACGGTTTTTCTGATGCGCCACAATTTATATGTTTCATCCTCGTCATCCATATTTTATGTAAAAATATCGAAAACGTTCAAGCTGAAACTTTATTTTTTATATTAATCAACAAAGCTCGGAGAGTTAAATATTACTTAATTTTTTAAAATAACAAACCTAAACTTACCACGAGGGAGACACCAAATCGGTTAACAAATTTTTGAGACTAAAGATGTAAGCAATGTAAATATTCTCGAAAAAGCTAGCTGGAGCCACTAGACTAGAGGATGCCACACATTTGGACAGCTCTCGGCTGTGATTGGTCACTCTCATAAGGTCTGTTCTTTTTTAAAAAGGGAGCGGCGCAGTTATGGACGCCGTGCAATTATTGGAAGGATCTCAATTGATCTCGATTGACCACGTCTCGATTAGACACCACCAATTACAGCGGCCGGGTACTTAGGAGTTTTCTAGTCTCAAGCGCTATGAATGGCCCGTGTCCAATCGAACTCTGTCCAATCAGGTGCCATCCTAGTTTAGTTCATATTAGCTGACAAAAATAAGAGATGTTTTTTTTATATATGATGAGTTATATGTTAAAAGGGTGAAAATATCCTTTAAAAAATTGACTTTTTTTCTTTCAGAGTAAAATATCGTCAAAACTATAAGAGATATAGAAAAAAATATTTTAAATAAAAGTTAAATGATTTCAAGAATATTTTATAATTGTAATTTAAAACAAATTTATTAAATAATTTATTTTGATAAAAAATTTTTTTTATTAAAATAAATTTCTTTGTAATGATTATTATAAAGTACTCTTGAAATTATTCAATTTTTATTTATAACATTTTTTTCTATCTCTCATAGTTTCAAAGATATTCAAAATTTTTAATTTTTTTAAAAGGAAATTTTCACTTTCTTGACACGTGCAATATGTATAAAAAAAACATACCTCTTATTACTGTCCATTTGACCAATATATTCAAAACTAAAATCAAAGAGATCAATTGGTTATATTCTCTTGTGGGATGTGCGTCTGAGACTCTTTTTAATCGGGCGCCATTCTTCAGCTTTGCGAGTCCGCCATAAAAGCCGTGAAAGCTACGAAGGAGTTCGGGGCGAACGGTTGCCTAGGTACCGTTGGTGAACGAGTGTGTTTGGCGTAAACAAAACTGGTTTGTCAGCGGTTTGTGGCTGCGCATCTTTGTCGATCATCGCCTGATAAACCGATTTCGTGCAAAATGACATCAATCGACTTGCGACTGCAGAAGCTGGAACAACAGGTGTGATCTTGTGCATAGTAGATGGACTGAGACTTTTAATTTGCCATACGTAAATTTCGGAGCATGCCTTACGCTTCTCGTACGGTGTAACTACTTATTTTACTTGAAGAGTTGTCATTTGCAATATTTTCAAAAGATCAATTTATGAAAAATCCGAAAGAAATTCGCCTCTGATGACATATTGTATTAAACATGCAAGCAGCCAGAAACACAAATCCAAACTATATCTCTCACTGTTTGGATGAATAATTAATGTACGCTTGAGCATGACATTTATCAGGCTAATAATAGGCAACTTTAGTTCGAATTCTTTCCTATTTATGGGAGCAAGGTCACAGTATTAGTGGAGATTGTACTAATACTGAAATATGTAACATTTAATCCTTCAGAGCTGATCACAACATTCATTCTCCTTTATATGAAAAATGACAATAAAATTAGGTTCTATGGAGTGATAGGCTTATCCAAAATAAATGAGAAATATTTTATTAGCTCAAAGTTTAATTGAAAATTAACATTATTTTATTGCAAATCATGAATTACTAACTTTAATTTATTATTCAGATAAATATTTTTTAAATAGAGTTAATAATTTTTTATTTATAGTTTTGAATTAATAAATGACACTTTGTTATAATTTATTTACATTGTCTATTAATTGATGTAGAGACAACGGATTGCGGAGAAGATGAAACAGAAGAGACAAACTGGTGCTAGTGGAATGGTACAAGCATCCAATGTATCTAGCGCACAGCTTACAAGTCATTCGAATAAATGGATGAATCCAAACAAGGAACTTCATGGTAGTGTTCAATTAGAATAATATATTCTATAATTATTAATAATTAATATAATTGTAATCCAGCATAATATTATAGACTTATAATATTGCACATTTAGATGTATAATATTTATAATATATAATTTATAATATAAAATATCGTATATGTAATTTATAGAATATTTTGTTCATAACATCACAAAAGTGCTTAATAAAGATATTTTAATATATTTGCAGCATATGATGGTCCATTACAATATGCTATGTTTCAAGCAAATACTGAAATGGGACCTTATACAGAAGATGTAAGAAAAAACAGTGAAGGGACAATTAATGGTAAATTCGTTATT